CTGCCTGAAGAAACTTGAAGCCTTGCGTCTATCTCCTCAAAAACCCGAATTTTGCTTTCTTTGGAGAGCCGTGAAAAAAAAGGGTCCGGAGGAGGAGTTACAGGCCGGATACTAGCTGTAGGCGCTCGTAGATCAAAGCCATCTTTGCAGCTAGTGGCTTGCTCAGAAGATAGAGGCCTTCCTTTACCATTACAATATACTTATTGTAATATAAAAACGAATGTAAGACTACCTTACATTACCTTACCTTATATAGGATAGAACCTGGGTTAGCATTGGAATGCATTTGCCCCTTAGGAGATCGCTCTGACGCACGAACCCATTGCTCTTGAATCTGGGGCTTAAGCGGACAAGCATTGGTGCCGCGCAAACAATGTTGAGTTCAACTGGGAAATAGAGTACTCACTAGACACGAAAGAAATGAATCCTTACTTCATCAAGAAAGGAGACGGAGAGCCACGAACCTACTTTCCTGTGCCGGAGGAGAACCAGAAAGAAGTAGACCTTGATCCATGGCCGGGTGCAGAGGAGGTAGGGACGGAGAAAACGTGCTTCATACGCCAGCGGTCGAAGATCGGCGAAAGTTGGTCTAGTCCTATACTATATATAAAGCGAGTGGTGACATCGCAAGAGAAAAGCATTTTTTGAAGTATTATTCTCAAAGCAAGAGATTAAAGTAAGAACCAGCAGAACCATCATCGGTCAACTGAGGTTAGGACTACTCTGAAACTCGCTTCTCTAACAGTTAGTTACCGGCCCGACTACCAAACTCTGTTTGCTCAATGAAAAGTGGAGGTAGTCTACCCGCATCGTCAAAGAAGATATCATGATGCTACCTTTTGCGAATGACAACAGTATGGTGATTTCGGCTTTTCAAACAAAAGGGTGACGTTGTAGTGTAGGTTAGAGTCCTACTTGTTGAAGATCTATAGTGATGTTATAATGACAATTAAGTAGTTACAGTAGTCTGCCGTAAGTCTCATTTATTGACGTAGATAACGAGATCACACTCTCGTTGACTACCTGCTTTCTAGTGCGACAGAGAATGCAAGCAAACAGAGTCGCCGCTGCCTCGTCTGAGAAAGAATTAGATTAAAGGATTGACGAAAGGACTGACTCGAGCCTGCACAATACTTGGAAATGGGGAGACCGGCAAGCAAAACCACCTTCAAGAGCTCGAAGGGAGGACAATGGATAATGTTTCCTTTTATTATGATGGTTATATCATCACGTTAGATGCTTCCTTCGGTTCCTCCTTTATGAATGAAGGACGAAAAGCAATAAGGCTTAAAAGGTAAGGCGGCTATGGAGGACTTGGTTTATTTGTTTGAGAGACGCCTGACGGCTTCTATAAGATTTGCCCAAACCTGGAAAGAGTAGTGAGAGGAAATAACTCATATCGGGAGAGGAGTAGGAGCCAGACCCACTGAGCTTTTGTAGGAGCAAGCAGACCGAGTTTCAGACCTAGGGTAGGAGTCCTTATTTATTGACCTTGAAGTTTCGGCATGCAAGTAAGCACGAAATTCATAGAAGGAGGCAATGGAATCCTATCACAATCGGAAGATTCAAATAGGCATAATAGCCGCCCCGTCTACCCGCTATTGGAATAGGCCACACGTCTTAGTCACCTTCTTCAGTGAAGGAAGAAGCC